GATTTATATGATTTTCGTGCCCCAAAAAACGACAGTCCGATACATGTGCAAGCAGCTCGTAGGGATTCATGCTAGCCTCTTTTCATAGCTCACGATATTTTAACGGTAGCCGCACTATTTAGGAAATAGTGCGACGACCCTTTTCGTCGTAGCTCCCGGACTAAAAGGAATAAATTAATGAAACTCAGCAAATCGATTACGAGCTAGAATGTGCTTCCTCCAGTGGTATGTTTGCTTCAGTATCAGTAGCCAGTGGCGTTCCAGCGGGGTAATAGCTTATATTTCCCCCCTTATTTTTTACGCCACTGACTTTATATCCACAACCGTCTTTTTTTTGAATTCCTTGATCAATTTTACGTAAAAACCAAATAAACATTCACTATGAAAAAACCAGTAGTTTTCGAGAAAAATTGAGTTGAACTGATAGGTGNGATTTATGTCGACTCATCTTAATTTTCATAGCAATTCTGTTTGGGAGTTCAGTGCATAAACCACGTCTTTGTGATACCCCATGGGAAAAAAAATTAATATGGTACAAATCTGGTGAATGTGCAGGCCAGCGAATTGGCCCGTCAAGCCCAATCCGCATTCCCAGAAAAGTTTCATTCCAGTGTTTTTTACTGCTATTATGCAATGAAATGAAGCACCATCCTGTTTGGAAAAGCATGTCTCTTCTTCTTTAACCCATTTAGAGCATTCTGTAAAATACTTATATCAATTGAATTTATCCAAAGTTGTCCGTTTATAATTTCCTATCAAAAATTGACACTGAGTCGAGTTTGAAAATTTTATGGTGTTGCTACATGTGCTATGATTTATCTGTCCGAAGAATTTTGTTGAAAAAGTTTAGATCTTCTGTAGAGGAGACCGGGGTTGAAAGTCATATTTTTTATCTTTTGCATTTTTAGAGTCTTTTTTAATAAATTATCAATGATATTTTTATATAAATAGATATTGTTTTTATACTCTTTCAAAAAGAAATATTCCGTTTTTCTCCAACATCATCAATAAAGGACATATAACGATTCTTATGGAAAAGAAAAACTGTGACTTTTAACCCCGGGCAGGGGCAGGTAGTCACATAGGGAACTGAGGGGTACAAAAAACATGCAAATGGATATTTTCATTGAAAGTGGAATACTATACGCAATTAATTATATTCAAGAAGAAAAAAAAGTGTCTCATTCGCTCAAAATGAAAAAACTGGTAACTTCAATACCAAAAATGTTATATAAAATATTATATCTAGTAAGTCTAAAATTCAGTGAATATTCGAATTCACAATTATGGTAAATGTAATCTGGTAAATTTAACGCAGTTTTTCGAATATTTTTGGGAGACGAACCGAAATAAATACTTGGAGCCATATAGGTAAGTATACAGGGTGTTCGTTAAACACATGCTAATATTTAAGGAGGTAATTCTTAGACCCATTTTAAGGAAAAAACGTCCTATGGACGTATGTCCTAAACGCCTTAACTTTTGAGATACAGGGTGGCAAAGTTTTTAAAAATAATCAGTTCTTTAATAATAACTGAGATAATTTTGTAGACATCTTTGGCATATTTGGTACATATGTTCCATGCCTCAAGGCGCATTTTCTGATGTACAATTTTCTTAATTTTGTCTGCCAGTGGCGTACGTACGAGTTTTGAAATGTATATTTTTGGCTAAAAAAATACTACGCCACTGCTTTATCTTGAATTAAAGATTATTTTCAAAATATCCATACATTTTTGAGAACATTTGATTTGTTGGGTTTTCTTTGTCCGACGCATGGTTTTCGCTCAAAAAATTAAAAATCGTTTTACTTAAGGATAAATTCCTTAAAAATCTGATGCGGTATCGTGCATCGACTGAAAGCAAACTAAGAGATCAGATTTGTTGCAAAATAATTGAGGATCT